AAGTTTAGGGTTGAAAATGGGGGTCTCTCCCGCGGCACATACCTACCATGCAATATATATGGAGTGCCCCCTCCCCCTCGGGAGTGTATCCTTTGTGTAGGGCTGTGTTTAACGAAAACTGGTTCAAATTAACTGGATGGTTAATCTGCCCGGTAGTTTTCTGAATGGTGCAATGCAGGACATGCTATGCATCTCAATAAATATTGTTACATTCTATAGGGTAGTTCAGAAGGACAGAAAAGGTCATTGAAAAAGGGTGAAAGAGAACTACTGAAGAAAAATGTAGCACTTAGATCCCAGCAGCCATATATGACACTCGAAGAAACTATGAGGTATACACATGCACTAGTACCAACTATAGTAGTTACCTATCTGTTGTAGGAATAATTAGACATTAGATTGTAACATGCATACATGTAAGTTTTACTCGCTGTCCTTACATATGTCTGTAGTTTATTGAATCTTTACTTGATTGGCTTTTAGTCTGAAAGGTCAATTGCATTTTAATTATAGTTAGTGCTACAGGTCTAGGCATGCAGTGCTCTAAATAAAACTTTAGTGTAACCTGTCTAAACTGTAAAATCATCCTAGCAGCAAATTTAATAAATATTTTTTGACATGGTTATTTAACTTGTACACGCATGCACGCACGCACGCACGCACGCACGCACGCACGCACGCACGCACGCACGCACACACACCATACGTGACTGTGGTAGGTGTGGAGCATTGAGCAAATACTAAACAAGGGCCCATCTAGAAAGTACCAACCGTTAGCTAACATACTGGGAAGAGTTGCCGCGAGCGGATAATCGTATCAACGCTAGCACCGTACGTACGGCTTCCTTCCCTTGCTGCTTTCCCAGGCACCGGAACAGCTACTTCCACAGGCTGTGCGTCGACACTCTCGCCGGCGGCTTTCACGAGACGTTCACTGAGCTGGTGAATCTCGCGCGGCAGGAGCAGCAGCAGCGGGAACAGGAGGGAGCGGCCGCCGCCGCGCAGCCGTCGTCGCCGTCGCGGCCGCCGCTCGCCACGCAGCCGGAGAAGCTGGACACAATGCGATCCTGCCTCGCGAGGGCCGAGGAGGCCGACATGAAGAGTACGAGCGAGCGTCAGCGCATGTTGCCGCTCGTCGCTTTGACACGGTTTTATTTCGTTGTCATGTAGTAGTAAAGAACTGGTAGTGTGTGTCTACGAACATTCGTGACAGCTTTTCGTCAGGGAATGCAGTTTTTACGTGGCATCCGTGTGGCTAGCGTGAAGATTTTGCGTTGGGTCTTTGTCGAAGGGCAGGTGAAGGTCCATAAAAAACAATCACGGGTGTTTTCTGTCGCTCTAGCATATATGTGTTTAAAAAAAATGGCGAGCATATATGTGTAGAGCATGTAACCTCTACGCACATAGCCTCGCAAGATTAAAGCACAATAGTGAGTACAGTGGGGAAATTTGTCCACAAAGGATGAACGGAAATCCGACTGATAATCGACTAGTTTTAAATTTGCACTTATATCAGACTTGCAATCGACATAAATCCAAATTTTACATAAATAAATCAACAAATTTGAATTAACCTGAACCTCCCCCCCCCCTTCATGCCCTAATTGCCATCTCCCCCGCTGCAGGCAACTTTGAAGAGGAGTACAAGGCACAGCACGAGCTTGCGCGTTACTTTAACCAGACGGGGGATGCCTGGCTGGAAGACCACATGCTTGCTGCTTGCCTGAACACGAGCCACAAAGTCAGCAAGTGCAAGGCTAGCAACCAGAGGATAGCCGAGTCGAACTGCAACATTGGCGTGTCCTTGGAGAATCAGAGTAACTAGATATTACATGCAGAAATACCTCCAGCCAATCGTAGACGTTAATTACAATTCTTGTTTTGATTTTTCTTATTCCCCCATTATTTATACTTGTGTATATATATATATATATATATATATATCAAGAGTACATAATAGGAGATTAGATCTCCTATTATGTACTCTTGATATATATATATATATATAATATGAAGATGGGTGTCGAGGTCACTTAGATGTAAGGACTGCATTGCAGGTCGATGGTCAACGGCAGCCGCTTACTTCGAGTCGTTCTACAACCTGACGGCCTGCCAGTACTGGGAGGACGACAACGGGCGTCTGCTGCGATCCATCGCCTGCGAACACCTGACAAGAATCTACACCAAGATGGCGGAGCGCGTGTCGCCCGTCGACAGGGACAATGCCATGGCGTACCTACTGAAGGCCTACGACAAGGCAAAAGAAGGTGATTGCTGCTTGCTTCGTCTCGATACTGCATGTATGAAAGATACGGATGCCTCGCTATGCATGCTGGTTGCTATGTGCGTGTATGCAGTTGTTTCTCAGAGAGCAGCGTGGATGTGGCTGTGGCTGTGACCATGATACAGATAACTGAATACTAATTACTTTTGTGGGCTTTTTTCATACGTGACGTTATCGTATTTGCACAGCGTAGCATTATCTAAAACCAAACTTTCGCTTGGTACTTGGTACATGGAGTGTTGACCAAATATTTGCTGTGTGGAGTGAAAGCCACGGATTGGTGATAATCCAGGTGACAGTAACGAGGCACTTGGAGCTACAAGTTACCAGCTGGGCCTAGCGTACTGCGATCGCGGCGATCAAGAGCGTGCGATAAAGGTATGTTTCTACGAAGATCCATAGTCTCCTAGCTTGCATAAGTGTGCGCGTGTGTGCGTGCGTGCGTGCGTGCGTGCGTGCGTGTATCTTGATATAAAATATTCAGCAGCGCGGTGGCAGAGCTTATAGTGACATTGTATTTATACTGGAAAACTGCGCCAATAGATGGCGCTAAATGTCCTTTTATCACAAGATGTTGGACAATAGTAAAGGGCGTCCATAGGCGGCAGCATGAATTAGCATGCACCGAACAGAAATTAATTACAAATACTCACACTGTTACTGCGCTTACACAACATACACTTTATTCATGTTAAATAACTACAGATTCATGCTCTATGCTCCGCTTAAAACTTTTGCCAGCTCTATGATGCGAATTTCTGCAAAGTTGTCTGAACACATTTCAAACACAAAAATGACCAACCGGTCGATGTAGCTACGCCACCTGACGGAATGTCACGAATACACAACAAGACCAATTTTACTTCTAATGCTTTCTAGACGTCCACGAGGCATCTAACTTGCGTGCATAATGCACATTATTGCACTCTAGTGCCGAATTTCTGCTAAAAAAAAGGCCAAAAAAGGACGAAATAGTCCGAAGGAGGAACAAGCCTGTGAAGTTAGGTTATGCCAAAGAAACAATATAAATACACTATATATAGGTTATCTATATTATTTCTATGGTTATTGCTAACAGCATCTAGAAAAAAGGCAGCATTAGAAAAGCCGACGCTAATAGAGGAAATGTAGAAATACGCAATAAATTGTGGTGAGCAAGTTTAGTTTGATATACACGTACATTACATTAATTATTCTTTAAAGGCTGTGGTGGTGATTGGTTGTATTCCCAAAATGATATCATATCATTATAATATATAATATATATATATATATAATATCTATTATATAAATTGAAGCATAATGATAGTTTTCAGACTGTTTGCTTTTATCTTATTGTAGTACCTGACCGTTTTCATGGAAGTGTGTCAAAAGCAGAATGATCAAATTGGACTAGGAGAGTCGTATGAAGCAATTGCTAAAGCTTATGAAAGGTAAAGCAGAAATTACAGAGAGTTATCATACCTTAGATGAACTGTTATCTAGTTTGTATCTTGGCTGCATCATTTTAGACGTAGCTCTATTGTTGCTCTCAAGTGATTAATAGTTGTTTTCTCGTGACATTGATAATAATTGCATACTTTAGTTCAGCTTCTCATTTGTATTTCGAGTGACATTTCGTCAACGATCTTAACTGTTATTATGTTATGTTAAGTTGTTAGACTTGCGGGTGTTCCCAACGTAGGATATAGTGACAAGGTAGTGCATGTGCATGTAGTTAACTAGCTGTGTAGATATGGGGTTAGAAGCGATAGGAAAAGATGGATTCACAGTCACCAATGTTGAGACCCAGGTTTTAACACCTTGAGAATATTCTCTGCCGCGGCTCGTATTTGAACTAACAGCCTGCGAGGTGAAAGCTGGGCATGCTATGATGCTAACCACTGGTCTACTGAGCTATCTCATAAGATAAGGTGCCGTAGCATTGTGTAAGCGTTGCGTGTACGCGCCTGTTTCTTTGCTATCGCCCAAGAACGATCAACGACTGACCGACTCAATGTGCTGATTGCTCACGAGGTCATGTTTCGTCCACGTATCTCTCGAGGCCTCGTTCGCCTCACAAAGAACTATTAGGTGCACGCATTGGGCAAGTTTGGTAACTCGGACTGTGCGTTCTGTTTGGCGCGGAACAAAACGTGGGTCGGCAAACAGTTAATGCTCACTGACATGTCATTGACGTGCCTCGTGGGTGTGAAAAATAAAATGCCCCAGAATGACCTTGAATGTGTGTGGTAGTGAATTATGCCGGGTTGTATTTGGGTCACTTTTTTCTATGTGAGTCAGTGTTTGGTGAAGTGATTCGAAAGGCAGTGATAGCTGCTGTCTATTGTAAGTCTATTGTTTTTAAATTTAAACTAAGTTAATTACTGTCGAAATGCGATTTAAATAGGCTTGGAATTAGTTATTTACGTTTGGGCATTTGTTTGGAAATATTACCAGGGTAACAGCTAGCATGTTGTTATAACCTCAAAAGAAAGTCAAACGCCATACTATGTTATCACACTCTAATTTTTTAAGGTACGTCCGTCCGCATGGCTATTCTTTTTTTGATGTAGTACGTGAATAGAATAAATGTTCATTTAATATGCTCGGTCATCTGTGGGTTGGGATGACCATATATATACCTATACATTACCATTTCCCGTTCCTTCCGGCAATAAAGCTGTGAGAGCGATCAAATCAAACAGACTGACGTGAATTCGTGATTTGTGGCATTCGTGAACTGCACTATTCGTCCGTCGGCAAACAGGAACGGTCGGTCGGTCGGTCGGTCGGTCGGCTGTCTGGCCGAGGAAGGAAGCACGGGTGTTTGTCGGCACCAACCTTGGCCGCGCGCTGCATGGCTGCAACGTGGAGGAAGCGAGCGATGTTTTGTCGCAGACCAGCAGGGACGACGATTGCCATTTTGCAACTGCTCTTCTCTCGCGTTGACCTCCTTGTACGCTCGGCTGGCCGTAAGTGGGCGTGTATGACGATTGTGTGTGTGTGTGTGTGTGTTGGTTGGGGGGGAATCGCTCATTTTCTCTAGTTTTGTCCTAGTTTTGAAGCAACACATGCCACGCGGTATTCTCGCGTCGACGTATTGCCAGGGCCCGGTGCGGCTGGGGCGGATCCATTCGTCGCCGACACGAGATACATTAGTGGCCTAAAACACCCTGGGATACACGTGCCTGACGTGTCTGCCCTTTGGAAATAAAAAAGTGTTTTTTGTTTACCGGCGCCTGGAAATGGTGTCACGTAGGGGTCGGAACCTCTCAACAGGGGGGAAAGCCAGACAAGTTATAGGCGCCGAAAAGACGACCCTCGTTTTCTGTTCGAGGTAACTGCGGCGTGGAGAAGGGAGTTGTTTTCGACAAACAGCTCGCTCGTGTCGTGTCGCGCGGGTGGTCTCTCTCTCTCTCTTTCTTTCTCTCTCTCTCTCACTCTTTCTTTCTCTCTCTCTCTCTCACTCACACGCGCGGGCGCGCACACATACACACACACACACACACACACACACACACACACACCGCCACCACATCACACATGACACACACACACACACACACACACACACACACACACACACACACACACACACTTGCGAGCGCGCTCTCTCCATCTGTGCGCCCTGCTAACATACCGTGTCGCGTGACAAAACGCGAAAGTGAGAGTGAAGCGAAGCGGTACACACTAGGAAGTAAGAGAAACACTTCTGTTGACAAGCGATTGTGGATGAAGCGACTGATTGAAGGAGTGGGCTGTTCTATTAACTCATTTAGATTGCTATGTCCTTCTCTGTCTCCTTCAAACGTCCTTCACTTTGCTAACGTGAACAAGCAAACTTCTTTGCGCATTTTTTTTAGAATGTTGAGAGCTGGCATAGGTAGGTGACAACATACATTTATCCCATTTCAACGCCGTTTACAATAACATCCTTTTCCAATAATATTTGTCTGCATTCCCAATCCTAAATCTCATGGCTCTTTGGCGAAATAATTTACACGCGCTAGTTCAAAGCGCGCGAGATAAATGTGAAAAAGCTTACTTAAAAGAAAGTACAAGTAATACGTGTAGCTATAGGCAAAAATGTGAATTGGATTACAAGAAAGTGAAAGAAAAATTGTCCCCTGTTTATTCCGATGTAAACCTTCGAGTAGGTATATCGGTGGATATAAAATTGGTACGTTGATGAAAGATATTTGGCCAGAAAAATTATTTGATGATCCAGTGATGACAAAAATAGCAGTTGAGTTTGGTAGTCATAAAGTATTATGAATAAGAGGCACTACCGAAAATCGAGTGCATGAAAATGTATGTTAGTATAAAGGAATTTTACCTCCCGATTGTAATTGATTAAATTGGGTTGTGCACGGGTGCTCGCGCCGCCATCACTTTCTCCCTCACATTCTGATGAAATCAGCGTGCCTTGTGAAAGGTCAGTTCCCATGGGTGGCATGCAGGAGCTGTTACCAAGGGTCAAGTACCATGGGCACTCGACCCGCGCAGGGTGTCCTTCTTTCACTGCATCGTCTGTTACCGCTGCTGTTGTTGTTGTCGTTGTTGTTCGCTAACGTCGTTGCCGCGAGTGCGTGTGTGTGGGTGGGGGGTGGGGGGTAGACTGAGCGAGCTGTGGACACAAGGCCGGACCCGGGCCATCGCAGCTCGCGTTATAATGAGAGGGTGTAGTAGGCGCGATTGCCTTCGCTTTAACCTCCACACCCGTAACCTCCCGCACAATGGCGCGCAATCGGGATTAGGTCAGCGCGAAACTGCAAGTGGTCGCGCCGCCATTGTGTGTTCGTCGGACCGGTAAGTGAGAGAGCGGCGGGGCGGGAGCGTGCGGGAGGCCATGTCGGAAAGTGTCATGTACGGCCGGGGTTACGACACCTGCGCGGTGGCGGAGGGAGTGCGGAGGGCACGTGGGTGGGGGGAGGCATGGGGTGAAGGGTGCGGGGAGAGATTGCGGAGGCTCATGGGAGGGGGAGGCATGTGGTTAGGGAGAGGGGAGAGATTGCGGAGGCTCGTGGGAGGGGGGAGGCATGTGGTTAGGGAGAGGGGAGAGATTACGGAGGTTCGTGGGAGGGGGGAGGCATGGGGTGAAGGGGGAGGGGAGAGATCGCGGAAGCTCGTGGGAGGGGGAGGCATGGGGTTAGGGGCGGGGAGAGATCGCGGAAGCTCGTGAGAGGGGGAGGCATGGGGTGAAGGGGGAAGGGAGAGATCGTGGAGGCTCGTGGGAGGGGGGAGGAGGCATGGGGTTAGGGAGAGGGGAAAGATCGCGGAGGCTCGTGGGTGGGGGAGGCATGGGGTGAAGGGGGAAGGGAGAGATTGCGGAGGCTCGTGGGAGGGGAGAGGCATGGGGTTAGGGGGCGGGAAGAGACCGCGGAGGCTCGTGGGAGGGAGGCATGGGGTTAGGGAGAGATTGCGGAGTCTCGTGGGAGGGGGTGAGGCATGGGGTTAGGGAGAGGGGAAAGATCGCGGAGGCTCGCGGGATGGGGGAGGCATAGGGTTAGGGGGAGATTGCGGAGGCTCGTGAAAGGGGGGAGGCATGGGGTTAGGGAGAGGGGAGAGATTGCGGAGGCTCGTGGGTGGGGCCGTGAATGAAAACTTGCTGCGTCAAACTCACAATCTTCCGCAATTGGCGCTGCGAGCGGGTGTGTAGACTAGCACTGAAATTCATCTGCACGGAAGAAGAAAGAGTACGCGGAAACAGATCGATCGTGTACGGAAATCAATCGATCGAGCATGGAAATCGATTTCAATATCGATCATGATTGTATCGGACGTCGACGCTCGCAGACGAACGGTCGTCTGTTGCTGCGGCGATTACGTAAAACAAGAGTACATACACTGTTTACGCGTATATAGTTTATATTTAGTGGCATTAAATTTAGTTTTATGTAGTTAAAGTTAAAGTTTTGTTTAGTATTGCCATTAAGATATTACCGTAGTTTATAAAAAGTTTAAAGTTTAAACTAAGTTTCTGTTTAACTTTATTTTATTTTGATGTAATTCAAGTTAAATTTTGTTTAATTATATTGTGTTATATTACGTTTAGTTTGATAGTTAACGTGCTCTTGGATAAATCGTACATGCGCAGGACAGACGGCATGTAGTTCTTCCCGCTCTCATCCGTGATTAAAGCGGAAGAACAAAATATAGGAAGCTGTCCTAGATCAGTTAGCAAACGCATTGGCGCGCTGTTCGTTCCTATTTCTTTTCTCTTAACGCCAGGGTTGCCTTTTTTCGCATTTGCTTATTTGTAAGGTTTTATGATTTGGCAAAAAGGGACCTTGACGGCGATTTATCGCGATGCTGAGCGTGATATGTCAAAGTGAATCTATCGAAAATGACGCCGAAAAACGCGTCTTCCGCCACGCGTCACTACAGCGCCACCGTCGCCGACACACAAAGGCTGACCTCACTGTCACTAGAGCAGCGGTAGTCTAACGGTAGCGGCCTTAACATTCACGCGCATTCTTACAAGCGATGACCGTCATTCGATCTCGCGCGCGGCGACGAAAACGAAGTGAAAGTCGGTGATAAAAGGGGGCATGATGACTTTGGAACAGGGTCAGTAACAGCCCTCAGCGCGCGCGCGGGCAAGGTTGCAAACTCGGCTGTCGTGTCGCCGCGCAGCGACAACATTGCGTCTGTATTGTTTCGCTTGTCGGCACACTTCCTTCTGCGTGCGACAAGGTAAGACAATGATGCGTGGCCGCAGTAATGACCTTTCGTATGTTCGTCGCAGATGGGCACTGCGTGGAAGTAGGTTGAAGGGTAGGAAAGGCCACGTGCGTTGATTGTTCGTCGCGTTTGCGTCGTTAGCGCGACTTTGTCGTATGTGTGCGTGTGTGTGTGCGTGCGTGCGTGCAGTGCCGTGCGTGCTGCGCGCTGTGCCCGCGCCGTGTGTGTGTGTGTGTGTGTGTGGCCTGTGGTGCGTGTTTTATGTGTGCGTGTGTGCGTGCGCGCGCGCGTGTGTGTGTGTAAGAGAGTGCACAGCGATCACTTAGACCGCCGATAGTCTATAACGTGTGGTCTTCTATATTGCCCACTCCTGGAGGTGAATTTAAGGGTTGGAGGATCCATGGAGAATAGTTAATTCTCTTTTGCTCAACTTCCTTTCGTTTTTAAATAATTTTTTAATGAAATTTAAAATGAACTTCGATGGCGAGTACACTCTTACCTTGTTGAAAAGGTTGACAAAATAATTGTTGAGATGCACGGTGGTCGCATACCTACCTATAAATCGTACACCTCTTTACACCCCTAACCTCTTCCTGCTTCTTACCCCCCCCCCCCCACCACACCACACTGAACGCTATGCGTCCACTCCCTGAATCCTGGACCCCCTTCCGCTTTTTCAGTCTAGATATGTGTCGTAGGTACATGTTGTCGCGACCGTATGGACATGTTAGACGTGTCCTTTACTGTCAGTGATTTCTGAGGCGCATAGGCTGGCGTAGGTGGCAATAGGAAGCTGCAGCAGCATCCACACGGCACACACACAGGCCGCCGGCGTTCTGTGAGCCGAAGCTTTCGATGTGCTCCAAGAATCCGGATATGCTCGCCGGTTGTTACTCGGAATCATGCTTAGCCGATGCCAATGTAATAAACAACACAGCGGTAGTACATCTCCGTGTAAACAACGCGAGAAGCATGCACGCGTGTGTTTTTTGTGTGCGAGCGTGTGTACACACGACGCGCTGGTGTCCGGTGAAATACTAGTATGTGTGTGTGTGTGTGTGTGTGTGTGTGTGTTTGTGTGTGTGCGCGCGCGTGTGTGTGCAAACACAGCGTGCTGGTGGTGTCCATGAGCGTTTTCGCAGCGTTTGCTCTACCGGCAACGCTGCTGCGTTTGTACGTCGGAACTGACTGAATTCGTTAGAGGACGCGAATTCTGCGTCAGTGTCAAGGCGAAGCGACCTCAGCCTCGCATAGCTGAGCACAAATATTAGCAGTAGTGTCCTATGTCACCCACCGCTCACCTTGGGCCGTAGTGCCAGCGCGATGCATGGAGCACAAGCCAGGGGTGGAAGGCGAGTGGAGCAGGCAGAAACATTGTCTCCGGAGACGATGACAGTGTAGTGGCCGCCATTGTTTAGCGAGTTGTAAAAGGTGACGACCTTAGTGGGGACAGGCTGCCGCAGGGCATCGACTGTCCGCAGCATGTGACAGGTGTAAGTCGGCGTTTCCATCGTGTTTGCTTAGTTGATGAACGTAATTATAACACTATGCTCAAACCCAGTGGGTGAGAGAACGTGGTCGAAATATATGGAGTTATGTGAGTTATAAATGGTTCAGTAAATGAATAGGAAATCAGTGGATCGTTGGTGAATCTATCAAACAAAATTTTGCAGTCGCTTCAGTTTTTTCATCTGTTGACTGTGACGAAAGTAATCGGCACAATGAAGGGCGTACCAATTTATAGATAAAGGTTATAATAAAAATAGATGTATATATTATTATAGACAATATTGTATTTAGATAATAAAGGTGTTGATTCTGGCATCATTCTGAATTTATACTTTAGCATTCCGCTGGAAGCAAAGAAGAATTATGATCATTTGTAGATTAGGAGGAGGAGGAGGAGGAGGAAGAAGAAGAAGAGGAGATGGGGTAGAGGGTGGGGCTATGGTTTCTGACTGTTAAAATACTCAATGCATATCTATTTCATGTTTTTCTCTGTTACATGGGTATATTTTCTCTAGCCTCTGAACCGTTTTACGGAGAAGACCGAGCCCCAGAAAACGTCTCTATCCTAATTCACTATTGGCACGTCAGTGGATTTTTTCTCTCTTACGCAGTCAAGGTAATATGACGGATGCCAAGACGTACCTCCAACGCTATCTGGAGGTGGCGCAATCTAGCGGTCATCGGGATGCACTGTACAGAGCGAGCCTCAGCCTGGGAGAGATATACAACCTAACAGTGAGTGCGAGATAACCTTCTATCTATCTTTCAACCTGTAGTGCGTTATGTAACCAAGGCAGATCCCAGGCTAAATATAATGCTCGCACATATTACCAAACAACAACAACAACAACAACAACAACAACAACAACAACAACAACAACAGACAACCCATAGATTTTATCTATCTATTAATCTCGCAGCACATCTTCACCACAACAGATCTTATTAAGACGGATCTATTATGGTCGCAACAGATTACCTTGGTTACAGTGTTGTTTTGCCCTGGAGGGGTTACTGGGCGTGTTCGTGTGTGCGTGGGTAAGATTCTGTTTATTCCTGTTATGTTTGTCTGCTCTTTCCATGCGAATGTTAACGATACGACATGTTTCGATTTATGATGTTTACGTTTTACTGACCGACCGATGCCCGTTTATAACGGCCGGAAATGTGACGTTTTATTCTGCGAACGCGGCTGAGCTTTTATAAACAGTTACGTAGACTCTCCTTACGTAGAAACAGGCAGGTAGTGTGCATCGCATGACGATTTATTATCGGAATTATAGGTAATTAGGATTTATAAGACTCTGGCCTTATTGGGTGGCGGGGCTATTCTACAACGTAAATGAGCAGTTGATTGATCATATAGGTATAGTTGTTAGAAATGCTACTATTACAACTTTAGTATTTAATGGACCCATTATTTAAGGAGGTTAGACAGCAATCTAAAATTTAAAAATTTAGAAGTTAAAACGTTCGAATTAAAATTCTTAAAAAATCAAAGAAAGTTCCGCCGTTATGATTGGAAAAAGGTACATAACGTCATTGCCTTTCCACTTTAAAGCGTCTGCTTCATGATTAGTCAGCAATTACTCAGTAGCTGCCTCTATATACGTGGGGATGACGAATGGCAACCAGTTTTGGTCGTTTATTACGGCCGCCGTAAATACTAGACATATTTATTCGACTATTTATTGGCATTTATGATCACGTTGTTTGTTCGCCGTCAAAAGCCCCTGGCTGGGCTGCTCTTTGTTATGACGTCACGGGCTATTGCGAGAAGCTATTTTGTAAAGAATGTGATTAGTAGGTGGTGTGGTAAGTGTGCGTGCATGCGTGCGTGCGTGCGTGCGTGCGTGCGCGTTGATAAACTGATGTGCTCTACCGAATGGTTGAATGCTATAATAAAGGCTGAATAACAGACGAACATTAAACATCTTGTCTAGTATCTCCATCCCTAAGTTCATCAACAGTGTTTGAGAATGTATAAAGAAGTGTATAATTATAAATGTATAATCGTAATTGAAGGGGTCGGCAGTTTCGAACTGAAACAGCCGGCTATAATTCCGTGACTGCTCGCCAAACACAGTGACCCGATATGAACAGTATAGATTAAACCAGGAGTGAATAATAATAGATTATATGATATATATACTAGATTATATAATAATAATAATTATAATAATAATAATAATAATAGTAATAGATTAGATAGAACTAGTATTATTCACTTCTGATCAAACTATAGCGGCGCCGTGCTGTTGATAAGCTACGCGTCTTTCCCGCCAGAATGGGCGAAATATTCACGTTTGGAGACGAGCGATCCCTGACTAGCAACGATTTCTTAGCAAGATGTTATTGGTTCTTGAAACCAGACGGCTTTTCGGAACCTCGGTATTAGTTTAAAGGTGAACGGGTTCTGCCGAGTGCTTATAGCAAAATCTGGTTTTCGGAAACGGTACTGGTAGATTCCCCACAACACAGATTTCCCCCAGACACCTCCGCTTATCTGCCACGATGAAAACATGCCATAAAGAAATGACATCGGATAATCAGTGAAGAACCGGGGTTAATGGACAAAGGTAGGAAAGAGTCAACGGTGAAGATCCGCGTGGAATCATTGCGATTTCAACGTGTTTATGATCGACCGATAGCGTTACCTGTAATCACGAGTTCGCGGAGTCGCTCTATAGTCTACCCTCGGCTCGATTCACGAGTCACACGACGTCGGAAAACTACTGCTCTAGAGCCGAATTCCTCTTGCTGCGATTGATCACGATCCATCTCGTATATGACGATTGCTGACGTCAGAGCGCTGGCAATGATGGGGCACGATATGCCGCCGGCCACGGTGACGGTGTTCTAGCGCGGCCGACTTAATGCGCGAGTAATGGGTCGCATTACAGTTTTTTTCTCCCTCTCGTTTGACTTTCAGATTTCTGCAAATGTAATAGGGCACGTATTACATAAACATCTAACGTGGCATCTAAGGCTCTGAGCGATGGCGCATAGCCAAGCGGTTAGTCTCGCACGCACGTAAGCGGTTTCCGATAGAGACATGCGCTCATGAAGATTATGAAGTCTTGATGAAGAGTAGTAAACAGCATCAGAATGTCCATTTTTGAACTCAAGTACCTGCTTACTTTTTTTCGTCTACTTAGGTTGTCTAAAAGTCTTTTAATGTATCCCCCCCTTCCGCATTGCGCGGTTGCACCAGAACCTGGTGTTTATCCTAACACCATTAAGTTAGGTGTGTCCTGGTAATTCTGCTTGCATGCTGTTCTGATGTTGGATTACAGCTTCACTACATCACTGCTGCTGCTCTGCACATATACACTTACATTTATATAATTGATAATAATAATTAATGAATGTAATTATAATAAATTACAATTATAAGTATATATATATATTGTGAGGCGGCGGCGTACGGGTTTCTTATGGTAATGCATGACCACATCGTTGGACTTGATTTGGTTGTCGATTAGTTCCTTAGTTACATCCATTCTCTGGAATGTTGCGTTGGTTCGTGTGCTGACGCCCACGGAGGCCCATGACCGCAGAGATGTACCCTCAGCCTGCATGTAGCCGTGTAGCATCGCATGGACGCACCATACGCGTGGGTTGTTGTTGTTGCTGCTGACTGGCACCACCAAGTGCGAGATAAACTTTATTGAGTGCGAATTCCTCCTGCTCGCTGTATGCGTGCGGGTTCACAGGCACTTGGAGCGTTTCAATAAAATATAATGCTAAATAAATACGAAATCTATTTACTACCAAAGTCTTAATGTTTCTCTACTCTCTAAAGTTCACCTATTATTGCCAAACGCTGGCTGCCGCCATATGTCAGTGTGCAGCGGCAGCCAGCGTTTGTTGCAGATGAGCTTTTGGACGGCATTTGCAGGAAATTGTCGGCAATAATAGGTGAAAGAGAGCATAGATACATTAAGACTTTGGTAGTAAATAGATTTCGTATTTATTTAGCATTATATTTTATTGAAACGCTCCAAGTGCCTGTGTGCGGGTTCGCCGCTTACCTGCCGTCTGCCCGAACTCCTGATGAGCTTCAATTGTTAATTAAAATACGTCGAGCGAGACTGATCATGACCGCCGAGCCTTTGATGTGCTGTGTCCGTAGGACAGATTCGAAATCGATTCGCGGAGATGGTGATTTTTAATCGGATCTCTGCGTGCATTTTAATTAGTACAAACGAGTGTGTGGCAATACGGCACAGCAGCGAAGAACTGTGCCTTGTGCTACCGGCCCACGCCCGAAATTCTGTGTCGTCTTATCACCGACGTGAGATCATTTTGCATAACTGCAGGTCGACATCCAGTGGCAACCTCGGTACCTGCAGGCAACTTCAGCAGTCTGAGGGAGTTTATTGTTTTTCTTTCTAAATTGCAATTTTTTACAATAAATGACTTTATTAATAATGCTAACATTACGACAATCACGAGAAAGGTCGAGCACACACCACACCACACGTTCAACGAATACTATTTCGTAAGAAATGTCACTAAAACGAACAACACCGCCATGAACCTAACGGCCGGGCGGGAAACTACTTGTTGTTTGGGAGGGTTTGTCGGTCACTGGAATCCACGCACGCACATCCAGGAAGACTGTGTCCACAGGCACTTGGAGCCTTTCAATAAAATATAATGCTAAATAAATACGAAATCTATTTACTACCGAAGTCTTAATGTTTCTATACTCTCTTTCACCTATTATTGCCGACAATTTCCTGTAAATGCCGTCCAAATGCTCATGTGCAACAAACACTGCCGGCCGCCATTGTTCACGCTGCACACTGACACTTAAATATATAGTTATAGTGTTATATATTAGTATATATAGTGTATATATATATATAGTAGCTATATATTTAAGTGTCAGTGTGCAGCGTGAGCAATGGCGGCCGGCAGTGTTTGTTGCACATGAGCATTTGGACGGCATTTACAGGAAATTGTCGGCAATAATAGGTGAAAGAGAGTATAGAAACATTAAGACTTTGGTAGTAAATAGATTTCGTATTTATTTAGCATTATATTTTATTGAAACGTTCCAAGTGCCTGTGACTGTGTCGTTATTTGGGAGGGTTGGCCGGTCACGGGATCCACGCACGCACATCTAGTAAGTCTGTGTTGTTATTTGGGATTTTTGCCTGATCGTCGGAAAACATCCCCAGCTAGTGGCGTTGGGAGTTTGGGATCCGATATGTAGCCGGATGTGAGGCGTTGGGCCTGTAGTAGCCTGCGGTCCACACAGTAAACGCAATGAAATTGAGATTCTATACACAGTTACTACATTAACTACGATTTAAAATTACAGTTACTTTTGGGGAGAAGCATGCAAGCTCGTGATGATATCTTTACCAACGTACCGCTATTCCATTCGAAAAAAAACAACTTTAAAAAATGAATAACTAACATGAACGTGCGTGCGTTTGCTTCTCTCGTGTTGCAGGGAGATTTCGCCGCGGCTACCGACTGCTTCCAGCGGGCGTACGAACTCTGCGCAGCGTCCTCCCCGGACACATCCTCGGCGCGCCTCGCTCAGGTGTTATGCGGCGTCACGCGGGCGCACAGCCTCCTCCTGCCCTACAACACGCGCGTCGTCGACCTGCCCTCCGCTACGCCCGCCCTCCTCCGCTGGAAGGAACAGAGGAAATGGCAGGAGGACGTCGAGTGACGCGTTACCACACGTTTCGATGATGTCACCGCACGTTTTTTATTTTGATTCGGGTGGCGTGATACGACGCGCCGACGCCGTTTCGATGACGTCGTCGTGCGTTTTGATGACGTCGTCGTGCGTTTGTGATGACATCGTGCGTTTGTGCTGACATCGTGCGTTTGTGCTGACATCGTGCGTTTGTGCTGACATCGACACTTTCAGCTGCGTAAACGCCGTGAAGCGTTGCTCGCCTGATCGTTTATTAGGCTCGAATGTGTCGGTACTCTTTCGTCTCGCATAATATTTCGTGGTCCTATATACTTCCGTGAGAGGGCCGTATATTCCACGTCATCGGCGGTTGTTGTACGTTACACCATGGTTCGCTATTATGTATACGTCAAAATACACATTTCTACATTCGCAATAAACCCGTGGTTGACGCTGGAAACCCGTTGTTACATATATATTCAATACAATAAATTATATTTATGCATGAATTTAATTGTTGTGTTAATTAGTGTAATTATCAGCTACACATCGATTCCACATGGTTCTCTTTCATCTCACATGAACTCGATCGCGGCGGGGTGGGGGCGATGGAAGTGTGAACTCTCACGAGTACAGTGAAGTGTGAACGGAAGTATCACGAAACTACTGAATAGCGCTAGAATATATGTGATCTGTCAGGTCGCGGGACTCGCGCGCTGGCTCTTGAAAAGTTTGCATTTTTAAGTAGGTTAAGTCGGCTTGACGCTACGTGTTGATGTCCAAGACAGGTGATGGTTAGTTAAGTGCGCGCCTTGGGAGAGAATGCGGAAGGAGAGAGGAAACCGGCGGAGAGGAAGGAAAGGGAGCAGAGTGTGGAGAGAAAAAAGTATGCAGAACAACAGTGCGTACTGAGGGATTTATGCAGGACGCGACATAAAGATATGCGACGATTCGGGACGTTGTGTGGTGTGAGACAGTAGGAGAGCATGCGCAGTGCATCCAGAAAGCAGAAGAGGATAAAGAGATGTAGAACGAGCGAGCGAGCGAGAGAGAGAAAGAGACAGACAGACAGACAAACAGACAAACAGACATGCAGGCAGAGAGAGAGAGAGAGAGAGAGAGAGAGAAAGAGTCGGAGAAAAAATAAACTTACCTGTTTGGGTATCAGTGCGGGTATGTGTGTGTGTGCGGGCGTGCGTGAGAGAGAAAGAAGGAGAGAGAGAGGGAGAATCGGTGGGTGTGCACGTGCGCGTGTGTGAGTGCATGCGTGTGTACGTGCGCTTTTCAGTCGGTTTATGAGACCAATGGCCCCCTTCCCGTCACTATTTTCCATGACGCGATTATGCAAATTTGCACACGATGTGAAACGATAAGCACATACGATATGATGAGATGTGATCTGAGGTATGTGAACGCAAGCTACTATCGTATCCTCACTCATTGCTCGTGAGTAGGTTCAGTCGATGGCAGTGATATCAGTGGTAGGTAATGGGTGTCAATTAATTAGTGTTGACGTCATCTCGTGCATCCAATTTCATGCCAAGGCGTCCTTAGTCCGTTGGCGCGCGCTGCAGCGATGAATGTTGTCTTACGGACATATCAAACAGCCGCGCATTGTGGTCTATTTGTTATCTTTTTGTTATTATTATTATTATTGATTTTTCCACTTTTAAAAATAGCTTTATCGCTGCAAATATTGTGGCAGTCACAGCCCATCGTAGTTTAAAGCTGTTCTTTCTCCTGATATCTATCGATGTATTTAATCAAAGTAAAGTTCGACGCAAACATTTTTTTGCATAAAAATATTTAGATCAGACAACACAAAAGCTGCCTTAAGTTCCGGTGTTTACATCGGGAAAAGCATTCCGCGCTTTTGCTGCGGAGTAACTAAAACCTTGTTGGGTTAAGTTTCAGTTCATGTTAATTAGTTACGTCGGGACAGTGCCCGACTGTGTGTAGGCACGTGATCGCGTAGGTGGTAATGTTCTAAATCCTGCGTTGTGTTATTGTTCTTAACCCATTGTCTCGTTTCGTGTTTGCGTTTCCTCTTAAAGGAATGTCAGCTAGTTCCCCTGTGTCTGGTCAGGCGTAGTAACAAAGATAACACCAATGATTTCACAAGTCCATAAGTGAGTTTTCCACGCACAATAATTTATTATCGCTCACGACACACTTGTGAGCAAGAGTCCAGAAAATATATTAGCATAACATATGCCTCTGTCCGTCCGTCCGTCCGTCCGTCAGTCTCTGAGGTCGTCCGTCCGTCAGTCTTTGAAGTCGTCCGTCCGTCCGTCCGTACGTCAGTCTTTTCTAACACAGCGAGAATATATGCGCGCACACCTCTAGGGAGAGCTCCCAAGGTGTGTCTATATATACGACCAACAAGGTGACGTCATATGATTCTACCCGCGTGCGAAACCACACTGCGTACACGTGCACAGGTTCTCCCCTAACAACGTGTTAAACATCTAGCCATCCCGTCTCACTCACGTGTACACATACGTGTACTCGACACCAGGTTATTCAACTGCGCACATCCGTCCGGTCTTCTCCGAATTCTGCCTTCACAGGTCCGGGTGTGCGTTTACGCAGTAGAATTAACATTCTGTGTGTATAATTTTACCATTAATATTTGAAATTAATTACTTTACTAATCTACAAATTGAATGCGCACTGTTACATCACTCCCCCCGCAAAACAACTTTCGTGACTTGATGTCACAAAGTGTAGTTCCAAAACACTGCAAGCATATAAAATGCGGGCGCCCTTAAATAATTCACCTAATGCGGTCTACTATATGCCACATTTCTTTAAATAAACCTAAACCTCTCAATGACACACTTATTTTTTTTCAGTGACACACTTACCCAACAGGAAACGATTGCTTTTAACATAGAATTATAGTGAATTGTATTGAAGCCCCACAAAAACAACCATCTCACCTCCATCTCAGCAGGACATCACGCAAAATCGCGCCGCACCCAAGAGGAAGAGGAAGGAACGCGGATGCGCGAAGATTTCGCGCGCAGGACGACGTAACCGACTGAGATTGTTAGACCTAATGAATATGCTTAGGAATGTATCTGCGTGTTGCGAACGGTTCGTGGCATAAGAATACAACTGACACAATGAGTTATTACGGCAATGATGGAAGGAAGGCAGCACATACTGAACTGCCCGACAAGACACGAACTTGAACGCAACATTGCATTTTAAGAAGAAAAGAAAAATGAGCAGAGCCGCTTCTACAGAGGATAATGCACAAGCAATGAAGTTCTATCAGGGTGCGCAAATGAAGGTGTGCCCATATCGTCGCGTGGACAGGATCACAGCTGCAAAGTTCATATACCAGCCAAACACGCGTAACAAGAAAAGAACCTTTGAACTTGTTCCTTTAATGCAAGGCATAGGCATCTTTTTTTGTTAAAGACTCATTAAGATTAGGATTGTTAAGATTAAGATTTTAAGACGTGAAGCAAGAATTTACGGCCGGATGCCCTTCCTGACGCCAACTCCGTTTAGTCGACTTCTATACGACATGCAGGAGACACAGTAGGCGTATTCGCTTGCCGGGTCTACACAGCTAATAGTGAAATGAAAAACAATACAAACCCGATTAATAAGGGTACTATCTATAGAGCCATACAAATAAATCTTAATAAATTATCAGTACAAGACGATGTGCTGAAACAATGTGCGTGGTGCATACGCAGTAAAATAAAACCCATGCCCGTTTCTCTAAGTGCTAAAAAACGAATGTAACTTAATGGATTCCCTTTGCGCCGCACGCGAGGGAGGCGGAGAGGAAAGAACTCGTGAAGGTGAGGCAACTGACCCTGGCAATGCCGACCCTGGAGCAGGGTCCTGCGCAAAGGTAGGCGAAGCCACGGGGCAAGTCGAAACACGAGCGGAGCTAGGTGGAAAACGGTGACACCTACAACAGACGGGAAGGAGGTTCGCCGGTGCAAAAAAATACCACAATAAAACTGCACAGCCAATGGTTAGCAGTGCATAAACGAAAAACTGCTGCCACTGTAGTCCCGAAAACCCGATAGAATCATCAGATTGTGAAAATGCATCACCCGCATCTAAAATTCTACGACTACTGGCTATGGAATGTTTGAGTTGATCATACGAAACATCAAATGCCTTATTCGCATATAGCTTAGGAGGTAAAATTGACGCAGGTAGCAGATTCGTAGCATTGCCACGATGAACGGCGAAGGCAGCCAAATCACGCCAAATAGTGGGTACTGGCAGTTGCGGTGGCAACATTTGTTGTATATAGCTCGTAATATTAACCCGAGAATCGTGGTGGTAAAAGGTTGGCAACGTGAATAAACGTGAATGCGCTGAACATCCGGAAGTCAAAGTGACAACCTGTTGAGCTGTAATTTGGATGTCTGTATTAACAGGGGATGAATTATCACCCGATTGACACGAAACGGTCAAAACAAATGGCTTAATTGGAGATATCAACCAGTTACCATTAGTAAGGTACGACACATGGTGCTGCTGTTGCCGAGCAATATTAATTCGTCGCGGACAGCGCTGAGGTGTCTGCTCCTCCTGATTAAGAAAAAGTGCAACTATACAATCAAAAGAACCGGCGCCATAATATATTTCCGAGGCAGACTGACAAATATCCTGCTTGTTATCTATGCATTTTCTTATGCGATCTATCTAAGGTAAAAAATAACGTGCTCTATTCTGTGCAAATGCCACGTAACGTGGACTTATGTCATAATAGACATAAGCTGTAGAATTTGGAATGAAAACCGGTGTAGGTATAACCTTATATACATCGAAAATCTGGCCAACATGTTTTAATGGTAAAAAAGGTTAGCACGTGAAAAGACGTTGCAGTGGGCACCACAACTGTTTCGAGCAAATCATAATAATACAAAATATCTTCTTCAATGGCTCGTGGCAAAGCCAGGTAATCAGGTAGCGTGTCTTTAACGGCACGCAGCAATGTGCGTAATTGTACTGGGGAGATAAGGGATATCACTAATTTTCTCGTCAAGAGATCGCTAAGTGCCGGTTCCAAGTCTGCAATGACACTCGTAATATCATGAAGCGCCATCATTAGCGACATCAGTCGCAGACTGAAGCTGTGCGAGTATGCTGAATATATCATCGGTGGTCGCTGCAAATCGGTCAAGCCGATGGTTAACTTTATTAAAAAATTTACCTAAATCATCCGCACCATCGATAAGATGGCTCTGTTAAGCTGCACTTAAGTGTGGGTAAGATTAAAAACTGTCAGGCTGTCTTCCAACGCATGCTGGAAAGCATCCTGTGACAACCGAAATTGAGAAAGTCGTGCATCCAATCGTGCAATATCTTCCTCATTTGCAGTTCCATAGAGGAACTTCTGACCTATAAATAGCAAAAGCGAACGCTTAGCACGTTGCTTTGTAAACATGCTTGTTATCCCTTGTAACCTACTAGCTAAACGCTTATACTTTATGCGAAAAGTAATGGCATGCGATTGAACAAACTCCTCCATCG